AGCGGGGGAGTCACCACCCCTGGAGGGATTTAAAAGACGTGGAGATGTGTCACTGGGGGACATGGGTTAGTGGTGGACTTGGCAGTGTTGGGTTTACAGTTGGACTCCATGATCTTAAAGGTCTTTTCCAACCTAAACAATTTTCCGATCCTATAATTTCATTGCATTTAAGATGAACAGTATTGTGAATAGCACTTATTTGGAATTAAAATTAAATTAAAGCGTCTCCTGTGTCTCTGGTGCTGCTCTCCTGGCGCATCAACAAGAGGGACTCGCTGCAGTCCTGGTGATGGATGGAAGGTCCGAGCAATGAATCCAACTCGCATGTTTATATGACATCCATAAATGGGAGAAATAAATTGCAATCAGCAGGCTGCAGATCTGGATGGAGAAGCTAATCTTTGTGCTAAATTACGAGACTTATGCTTTAATGATTTTTATTGGTGTTTTGTGGTGCTGCTGTTTATTATAGTTAAGTACTTTGGATGGTGCAGCGATGAAGAGCAGTCGATGAAATCAGCCAGGTTAATGAGACTGAGATACAGTCCCAACGCAGTGATGGAGAGGAACAGGAATATGACTAGTTTGTTTCTGTCCTCTCCTCTCCCTTTTCTTAGATCCTGTGGTTCTTCTCACTCTTTGTATATTCAAATGTGCATATTTTCAGAAATACAACCACATCTTGAGGATATCTTATCCCTTCAACACACCAGGAATACCCGTCTAAAATCAGATGTGACAGGGTCACATCCCATGGAGGGGTGCAATCAGCTTATTTGCTCTTTCCAAGGCATTAGCATGACTTTAGTAAGGGTTTGTTCTCTTGCACTGACAAAAGCACTATCTGGAAGAGTTTTCAGCCAGGTTTTGTTGCAGTTCCTGGCTTTTCTTGTTCCCTGAAGCGAGGTTTCCCTCCCCGCTGCCCCTTTCCCCAGCGATGCTCCGAGCTCCCCGACGTTGCTCCTTCTGTCCGGTGGGTGGTGAGATGTCATCTCCGTGGAGCTCCTTCTTTCCGTTGCAAAGCCAGGAGGAATTACTTTCAAAGACAACAAAGGTTTTTGTTTAGCCCTTTTGCCGGGGCAGCTGGAGTGGTTTCCTGCCTGCGCCGTTCCCTCTGCTGCTGTTTCCAGGTCTCTCCAGCAGCTTCAGCCGAGCATCTCCTGCCTCTTTGCTCCTCCTGCACCAGAGTTACTTTCTCCACATCCCTCCCCCACCCAATTCTCACAACTTTAAAAAGCTCCAGCTTTCTGCAGGCTTCTGATTTTTGCAGAGCCTTGCCTTGTTTTTCAAGGCAATTCCTTCTGACTCGTTCAACCTCTGGTGTAGCTGCGGAAAAGATGCATCTGGGGAACAGTTTCATGGAAAAATGCTTAAGTGACTTGATTTACATCGTAGCCTGCCCCTTAAAACGAGATTAAAGACCTAGTAATATCCTACAAAGTGCTGAACAGACAGAAGGTAGTAAATGAGCATAGCCTTGATTAGATTGGAACCAACAATCTTGAAGTAAAAGTTTGAGGCATAAAACTGTTAAGCAGCCTATCTACCATCTGGTTTGCTCGAATGTAGCCGTGTGTATGCTTCATATTTGCTTTATTATTTGAAGATATTGATTTTAGTGGAATAATCATACTAAGCAATTTGTTTTAATATACCGCTTTTATTAACACTATGTTATAGTTGCAACTACCATGCATCTTTTTTTTTTTTTAAAGATTTCAAAAAGCTTTTTAAAAATATAATATATGATCTACGGATCAAAAGCCTGATATTCTTGGGGTTTTTCAGCTCTCTGTCTCCCAGGAATGACTCTGCTGAGTGTGAATGAATAAGCAGTAGCTGTGCAAGGGGTTAATAAATAGCAAAGCACCCACTAAATGCAATCGCAAGGATTATAAAGATGCAAGACTTTGCACGAGTTAAAAAAAAAAAAAATATATTTGGTCTTTAATTCTAAGAACGGTATTTAAAGAAGACTTAGAAAAAAGAATACAAGCATCTAGATAAATAGTGGTGTAGAAAGACAGCGTTCTTTCAGATATGATCCATGCAGGGATGGTTCTTCGGGGGTGAGTGGTTTTTCCAGGGCTGGAGAGGCAGATGGCCTGGGAGCAGCTGGGAGGTAGGAATTGAGGCAGGAATCTCTCCAGAACGGCCTCGAAATGACACTTCGATAGGACTCTCAGGATGTAGTTTCTGAACCACTTATAAAGGAAGCATTTCCTGCCCCAAGAGTTACAATATAAATACAATAATGTGCAAAACCAAACACAGTAGAACAAATAGCTGACAAGTTCTTAAGGAAATCGCGATAAGGCTGATAACACTCGGGAAGCTTTTGAGATCTTTGCCCTTTCTTAGATGAATCACAACCAGGTCGTTCCTCAGGAGGTGTCTGCTCAGAGAGAGAGCTTGTGTCCTGTGTTACCAGGGGACAGGACTCCCCTCGCTCAGGATTTGGGCCCCCTACCATAAAAAAGACATTGAGGTGCTGGAGCGGGTCCAGAGAAGGGCGACAAAGCTGGTGAGGGGTCTGGAGAATAAGTCTGATGAGGAGAGGCTGAGGGAACTGGGGGTGTTCAGCCTGGAGAAGAGGAGGCTGAGGGGAGACCTTATTGCTCTCTACAACTCCCTGAAAGGAGGGTGTAGAGAGGTGGGGGTCGGTCTCTTCTCTCAAGCTGGATATTAGGAAAAATTTTTTCACCGAAAGGGTTCTCAGCCACTGGACTGGGCTGCCCAGGGAGGTGGTTGGGGCACCATCCCTGGTGGTGTTCAAAAGACGGGTTGATGTAGTGCTGGGAGGTCTGGTTTAGTGATGATGCTCCTTATCTGTTGTGTGGGTGTCTATTTTTGTCAGTCAGGTTGATGGTTGGACAAGATGATCTTTAAGGTCCCTTCCAACTTAGAAGATTCTGTGATTCTGTGATTTGGTACCGTGAGGCACCAAAGGAGATGTCGTCCCAGCAGCATCTTAGAAGCTTTACCAGGAGAAATCACTCGAGTTTCACTCAAATATAATTTCATTTCCAGCATCACACTCTGCTCTGCCTCCCCTGCCCCGTACGGGCAGAGGGATGCTCATCCTGCTCCCCAGAGCTGGATCTCCCACAGCGGATCCGCGGAGCCCTGAGGGAGAGAGGGGCTGTGATTTCCAGCGAGTGCTGCTCTGTCTGGGAGCTGGTGTGGTTTGGTTACTACGTTGGGACACATAGCTTTTGGCTTTTGGGGTCTCGCCGTGGTGTGGTGTTGCTCCAGGCGCCTCCACGCACCTCTGTTCTCGCCCGAGAGGTGGGAATGCTGAAAAGCAGGAACATAAGAGGTTCCACTCAAATATGAGGAGAAACTTCTTCACGGTGAGGGTGACAGAGCCCTGGAACAGGCTGCCCAGGGAGGGTGTGGAGTCCCCTTCCTTGGAGATTTTCAAGACCCGCCTGGATGCTCCTGAGTAACATGCTCTGACAAGCTCTAGGCAATCCTGCTTCAGCAGGGGAGTTGGACTAGATGATCTCTGTGGTCCCTTCCAACTCTAAAATTCAGTGAAATTCAGTGAAAATATTCCCTCGTTTCCCATTGCAGTGGGAAAGTCACTAAAATGCTTGGAAACTCGTGAGCGGCAACAGATAGGTGAGCGTAAGGTTTGATTTATTTGATGGGTTTTTGTATAGAAACAGTAAGGTTGCACATCCTCCGGGGCAGCAGCGCTGGTGTCTGGGGAGGATGGTGACAATCCAATTATTTCATCTGTCCAAAATAGCAACTTTTAAGAGGTGGGGAAATGACTACACCAAAACTATTGTATGCCATCTGCCTGCTAAAATACTTATAGAAAACATGTTTCCTGGCATATAACTTCCTAGCCATATGTCTCTTGCATCATTCACAATTAAATTAAATTACCCTTAAATACTTGGAAAAATTCCCAGTCTATGTGAACAAGCCTTCATCACCGTGCGGTTTGAAATTTGGACACTTGATCCTGTAAATGTTTAGTTGAAATTGGCTCAGCCGTCGTTAACCTTGTGCAACTGATAGGGGCTGCTTCAAAATAACTCAAGTGCATGTTTCTTATTTTGGGCCTTAAATTTTTAACTATGAAAATTTGTTAGGAGTCTGAAAGGGGGGAAATAATTCTCCGGTATTTGTTTGCAACGTGCTCGAGTGACTTTAAACAGAGGTTTAGATGGAGAGTCGTATCAATGAGAAAAGGTGTTATCTTCTGCTTGTTGAATAAAGAGGCGGAAATAACTGAAGAGCTTGGATACAGCTGGATAGCTGGAATATTTGGAATAAGCCTGGAGGTGTGTGCACACACACACACTCCCCCAAAGAGCGTGGCAACTCCCAGCAGCTCTGAAGCCTGATTGGGAATGGGCTTTGAGGAATTAAGCTTGACCTGCTCCTGGTCTCCTAAGATCCTCTGAAGACAGTGCTTTCATTAAAGAATACTCTTAATAAGTAGCTGATTTTTTTGTTTCTCTGGTTCCTCGTTTGAGGATACGTTAGATTTACCATGGTGAGCTGAGTCACTACCCTAAGAGGAGTTTGAAGGCATGGTCTGACATCCACGGTGGACATAAATATTAATGAAACCCAACATCTCTGACACAGGGGATGTCGTTTAAATGCAGCCCGACTTCCACTGGAAACCAAACCCGGGAGCTTCCCGTGCTGGGTGTCGGGCAGACCCGCTCAGTGCCTATTTTTAGTCCAGTTCACTATTTTTAGCGATATGTTAGATTTACCATGGTGAGCTGAGTCACTACCCTAAGAGGAGTTTGAAGGCATGGTCTGACATCCACGGTGGACATAAATATTAATGAAACCCAACATCTCTGACACAGGGGATGTCGTTTAAATGCAGCCCGACTTCCACTGGAAACCAAACCCGGGAGCTTCCCGTGCTGGGTGTCGGGCAGACCCGCTCAGTGCCTATTTTTAGTCCAGTTCACTATTTTTAGCCTGGTTTTGAAAGGTGAAATAGAGCCGGCAGCCAACCCCGGATGATCCTCTTGGTTTCTTTCATTCAGGAGAGTGGGGCCGGGCTGGAGGAGAATGGCAGGAAACCCGGCGGGGTGGAGGGGAGCCCCCAGGGTGGGTGAGGGCTCAGGGGGGGCCATGGGGTGGGATTGGGGGGCTGGGGGGAGCGGGGGGACCGGCCACCAACAGGGAGCCACCCTGGGGTTGTGGTCCGGAGCTCCCCCACAACTTCCCTGCAAACAAAGGGCTCAGCATGAGCTGGTTTGTTTTATTCTTTTCTTACATTACACTTATTTTTAGTATGAAAATAAAAAATTTCTCTGCATTTCTAAGGCTTTTGCCTTCTCTGCACCAGAGCCATCCTGAGCCCGACCCTGGAGCTCGGCAGCTTTTCTTGATGCTTTTCAGTGTGATGGGATGTTGGTGCTCACCAGATGGGCTGCTGTCTTCCCAGGGGCTGATACTTTGAAATTTCAACTTTTGATTTTTAGTTGTGCTATTCAAGCCAAATTCTCACTTTAACAGAAAAAAAAAAAAAAAAAAAAACCAACAAAAAAACCAACACAAACATATCTGTTATTTAAATAGGACCTTTGTCTCACTCCACTTTTCTCATTTCATCTTTTGAATAAGTTTTCTAAACTGATGTGCCCTCAAATCTGTTCCCTGTACCGAGTCATGCATTTTCCTCTGTGTGTGTGTGTTTGAGAGGGGGAAAAAGAGAAAACTCTTGGTGAGAGCTACTGGTGGCAGCCAGGCTGGTCCACGTTCAGGTTTTATAACCTGGGATATTACTAATACTGGGATATTTTGGCCATTACTAGAGCTGTGGAGCTCTGTCATTCAGTCATAGATTACTGAAATAATAGAAATCTTTATATAGATGTTGGAGCACATTTCTGAGCTACAGATGTTTCCTTCCAAGAGATATTTTCCTGTCAGACAATCGCAGGCTGCTAAACATCATCTCGTCCAAGCCCTGTCCTGTGCTAAAAACAAAAGCTACTGGAATTTTGTCGTACTGGAAATCTATTTGGGGATTTCTTTGTGCCTAATACTACCCTATCTTTCTTTCTGCCTTTCAGTCCTTTCGCTGAGTGCAGCCATATGACTGTAGAGGGTAATGGGGGCATTCACATCAAGATACTACATCAAGCAAGTGCTTCGTTGTCCTTCCTTCCATAGCTACTTTTCTGGCCACCTCACTTTTGATTTCCTGTTAGCAATGACTCCTTCAGTGATTGCATCATTTAGCAGTAAAAGGAAAGGATGAATCGAGACTTAACCAGAGTTTAGTTTCCTAAATGATCATATCTCTTTTTTTTTTGTTTTCCTCAAAGACATTTCTGCTGTCTTTGGTGTCCTCAGACACAAAAAAAAACCCCAAGAAATGGAAACATCAGACTATTTTAAATTAAAAAAAGAAAGGAAATTACATTTTTTTAAATTATTATTTTTTAAAATCAATTATTTTGGAGATACTCATCTCTCTTCAGGCCTCATTAGGCTGTATTCACTCAGCCCCATTCACTCCTTGCTGCAGAGCATCCCTCATCCTGCTGGTTCCAGACCCAGTCCCCCCCACACCTCTGGTGTGGCCACAGGAACTGGAGAGCCCCGACCAACCATTTCCACTTGGTCAGGTCCAGCCTGGTAATAAAACTGAAGTCAGTATTTCTACACTGTTCTTAATGCTTCTATGATGCGTTATTAATGGAAATGAGCTCCAGGAAGTTATTTATTAGTCTCGAGTCCCTCTTCTGCTCCAGGTTTTATGCAGAAATTTTTGCCTGTGGGTTTTGGTCTCCCCCAGACCTTCTCCAAACCATTGCACTCGTTGCTCGCTGCTTGACCAAAGTCAATTTAGTGAAGCTAATGGAGTTACTTCTCTTCAGGTCAGTGATGATTTCACATCCTTGAGTTCCTTGCTTAATTTGCTGAGAAAATTTCTGCTTCTGAAGTCCTTTTTCAGAGTTTCCCCTCCGTTCCACAGCTCTGGCCACAGCCAGGCCCTGGGATCGTGCATGGGACTTGCTGGCGGTGGCCGGACCTGGGGCTTCTCCACTTCTCTGCTCCCATCAGATGGTGTTTACATTGCTTTGAGGGAAGTTTAGCAGCAGGCTCCACTGTAATCCTTCCTTCCAGCTGGAGCACGCTGGATCCCTGCCTTCGCTGTAACGGGGAAGGAAGGGGCTCTCAGGAAAGAGTTAAGCCCGGCGAGGCTTTGGGCTCCTTTGCTGGGGAGAGGGTTGTTCTTTTGTTTGTTTTGAAGCCCTGGCAGGAAAGCGGGGAGGAGAAAATTACCTAAGTGATAGTGAGGTTGCCACGAACTATATAAAACTCCGAAATCGAATCGGAGAAACTCCACCTCGCAGTCTTGAGCCATAAGCACAACCCCTGAAGAGAAGCCCACCCCACCACCGAGTCATCTCAAAGGCTTGAACCGAACCCAAGCTCCATGAGCTCAGAGCTGCTGCAGGACTGAGAGCCCACGAGCTGTCCCAGCCGGAGCCAGTTTCCGTGGGAGCTGCGAGCAGGAATGCTGTTCCTGGGAAGTTTAAAAATAATGAAGTGGAGGCAGCTTTTCTGGGTTGCTTTCTGCGTGGTGGAGTTGCCTGGTGAGTATCAACTGCGGCGAATACCAGCAACGCCAGGCGAGTACGTGGGGCAACTTCTTTACAACTCCTGAAACTGCAGCTTTGGGGCTGGGGGGGGAGGCATTTTAAGGAATTTTTAGTGGAAACTGCAATTTCACAGAGCAGGGAGGTTTTACAGACCAAGCCCTGGGTCTGGCATCCTGGCCAACGTGCTCACGGTGATGCTCTGGGAACGGAAAACGCTGCCGGGTGGAAAAAAATAAAAGAAAAGGAGGGGAATGAAGGTGTAAGAGGTCCCTGAGGTCTCACAGATAACACCCGGGATGCAAAAGCAGCTGGAGGAGCCGGAGAGGGCAGCCACAGTTCAAGTCCTTTCTCAGTCTGTGCTGCTGTAAATTAGCCTTACTTTTGTTTTGTGGCAGGAACTAAACATTTTTCTGAAAATCAAACGAATCGCCATAAATATTAAAATCTCCTATTCCAGCTCTTCAAATATTCATCATGTGAGAAAGTGAGTAATAACGTGGAGATTTTTTTTCTCCAGGTAGTACTTTTTAAAGGGTTATATTTTAAGGGAAATAGTATCATTTTTGTCCCAAACCCAACAAGCATGAAGTAATAAAAAAGAAGGGATGTTAAAAAAAAAAAAAAAAAGAAAAGTGGAGCAGCAGTCTGTGTGTGCTGCATCGTGTGCTGGGCCAGGAGCCAAGAACCTGCGGGTGTCTCCTCAAAAGTAATTTTTCCTGACTCACATGGATGTGAGCGACTAGAGCTTTGGGAGGGATTTTTGCTGTATTTTGTTCTGCCTTTCCACGGTGCTGCTTTCATGTTCTCTTTGGTGCCGAGGTGCGTTGCTCACCCCAGCCGTTGTGCCTGACCCTCCAGTCTACGTTAATTTTGCAGGAAGGGAAAAAAAAGAAAAAAACAACCCAAAAAGCTTCTCAAGTAAAACTCAGGTCTGTCTGGTTGGGCTGGAGGGAGCAGCGAGGGAGGGTGTAAGACAAAAGTGTTTACCTGAAACACGAGTCCTGGGTTCCCTGTAGAACAAAGCAAAAGTGATACAAAAGTGATAAAAAGCTTTGCTTTTGTAAAGACAAAGCTACTGGGGGTTTAATGCTGGAAAATGACATTTTTTTCTGCCAATGCTCTGTGTTTCTGCAAAATATTCCGGGGCTTCTGCCGGCACAGCCAATGCTCTGTGTTTCTGCAAAATATTCCGGGGCTTTGTTGGGAGCAGGGGAGGTTTATTCCTGTTTAATGTGGCTGCTGCGCGGAGCAGGGAAAATCTGGGGAGCTCATCCCTGGGGGTCTGTGTGCTCCTCGCCTCCTTGGGGAGTCCGAGTGGATTAATTCCCAATGGAAATCCTGATTCCGGGGATTTGTGCTCAGGTTGGCTCCTGGCAGCGTGGCCAAGGGTGAGATTCCGTCTCCCTAGGACAGTTTCAGCTAAAACCATGTGTTTTGCAGGAGAAAACCCCAGTCCCACACTGGGCCAGGTGTCACCTCTACAAGTGCCACGTGTGGCCACGGCATCAGGGGGATGGGGGACAGGTACCAAATATCTGCTGTCGGACCCCAGAGCAATGAGTGGCCCCGTCCAGCCTCATGGGGAGCGAATGGCACATGAAATGCTCCCTTTTGGGCTTTGTCCCATCCTTTGGGGACATCCTTTGGGATGAGGGTGACAGAGGTTTGGGTCCATCCCTGCTCCCCAGAGCAGGGTGATGTTTTGGGGCCACTCAAGAACCCCCTGCAAACAGCTCCTGGTGCCAAAACTGGGTATTGATAAACCACGTGGAGAGGTGTCCTGGGCTTGTCTCAAAACTTGAAGGAGAGAGTATATTCTATTTGAACCCATTACAAATACTTCCTTTTTTTTTTTACTCTTTTATTTTTTTACGTCTTATTTATTAATCTCTGCCAAACTTGATTCTTTTAAAAAAAATCTTTTCTCTTGTCATTTTAAGGCATCCTTTCTTGTTCCTTTTTGCAAGATCCAGAAAAACCTCTAAAAATCAGGGAAGGAAAAAGGAGCTTTTAAAAATCCCAGCCACTTGATTTTGAAGTCCTTTAGCGGACTGCGAATCGTAAGAGCACAAACCAGGAGAACCTCAGTGCCAGGGAAGGTGCCAGGCTCTGAACACCCCCAGGTGTTGCAGAGACCCCCCCCAAACCCAGGGTGACCCTCGGAGCCAGGGTTGGTGTGGGGGGCTCCCCGCATCCCCCTGCCCGGGGAGCCCTGCGTGACTGCGGCCCCACACCCATATCCTGCCTGGGAGGAGGAAAAGGGGGAGGGAAGGGATTTCTTTTTTTTTTTTTTTTTTTTTTTTATCAGCTATTTCCAGAGGGAAGAGGGCTCCACCCGCTTGAATTCCTGCCACATGGCTGGGCTCGGTGAGGCTGGGAAGGCTGAGTAATGCAGGCTGGAGCCTTCCGAGCTGCTCCGGCTCCGTGTCCTTCAGCTCCTCATCCTCCTCTTCTGTGGCTGATGGACCCCACGGTGCCTCTCACCTGCAGCTTTGCCAGAGCTCAGCCTGGCAGGTTCTGGAGCCTTGGCTGAACCTGGAAAAAGTCTATGTTAAACACAAGAAAAATTGGAGTGACTTTCCTGGCATGGGGTTCCCATGTCAGAGCATTGAAGTAGGCACCCAGTTAGCAAAGGTTTATCAGGAGATAAATCACTGCCTGGGAACCCATGTGGGTTGTATCTTCCACCTCGTAGGGATGGAGGTGCAGGGAGAAACCCCCCACCGCCCATCCCCATTTAATTTTGCCACCGGCACAGAGTAGGGCACAAATTACTGAGAGTTTTCCCCCATTTCCTGAGTCTTTGCCTCTGCGGGTGGTCCTGGTTCAGTGTTTGGGGCTGAGTGTTGGACGACTTCAACATTTATATTGCTGCTTGGTTTAATTTGATTTGAACTGAGATACTTCCCAAGCCCCACTGTGAAAATATCTTTAAAAATCAGAGGCATTTACATTTTAAAAGCCAGAGAGGTGAATATGACAGGTACCATGAAGTAGAGTTTTCTTTCACATATCCACAAGCTTCTCCTCCTGCATGTGCTAGTGCTACCAGGTGAAGATTTCTCCAAGGTTAATAAATGGCTTGGCTTAAACTCTCATACCCTTAATGCTAACAAATTGACAGAGTTTAGCAAAGCCAGTAAAAATGTATGGTGCAATAAATGACTCGCTTTAGCTGAGCACCATGTGGATTATCCAGCTCACATCTGGATCATTATTTATCTCACGAGTCCTAAGCTTTCAAAAAACTTAGCCATGTTTTCTATAAAAGTGCCTGCACACGCTACAATAATGGGAAGAAAAAAAAGTGAAATACTATGTGACAAATCTTCTAGCAAATTACACTAAGCAATAATCCAGGCTTCAATTTATGATATTCAGTGGTGAAAAGACTTTGATTAGAAATACCTCTGGTGCTTTACAAACATCTGGAATAGTTCAAAGGTGCTTGGGTGGCTGTGGCACTTGGGGAGGTCAAGTCCAGGCGCTGCATTGTTCTAGTGATGTAAAGTTTCCTGCTAACGTCCATGCAAACACAAAGCTGGATGCAAAGCCTGGATTTAACTTTGTGCTACTCATTTTTCTGGGCACGCAGTCATGCCTCCTGCTTTTGATTTGTTAAAATTCATCAGAAAAAAAAAAAAATTGGTGATTTAACCGGTTGGAACTGAATTGTCTTGGAGAGAACAAACTTCTCCCTTCAATAAAAGCAGTGCCAGAACCTAAATCCCAGCTCCAGACACCTGCACCGAGCCCTCGGCAGGGCCCCCCGCCTCCCCCAGTGCTCCCACACCCGGAGCAGCTGTGGGATGGATGGGATGGGATGGGACAGGATGGAAGGGATGGGATGGAAGGGATGGGATGGATGGGATGGGATGGATGGGACAGGATGGAAGGGATGGGATGGGTCAGGATGGAAGGGATGAGGATGAATGGGATGGGACAGGATGGATTGGATGGGATTGGGATGGATGGGATGGGATGGGATGGGATGGGATGAGCCACTGCCCTGACACCGGTGCCAGGCAGCTAATCAGGACCTGTCAGTGGCTGCTGCATCACAAGGGGTTGTTTAGAAGGATGAAGTAACTCTTCTTGGAGCTTGAGCTCCCCTGGGCAGAAATACAAATGAAACAACGTATTTTGTACGATTTTCTCCTTAGTATCTGGATAAGAATCTTAAACAGCAACAGCCCTGGAGTAGACACTGAAGCTGTTTGTTAAAAGTGGAAATAGATCTTAAGAATAGGAAAGAAAGGGGAAGAAATGCATTTTCACTGACTCATATAGTTCATTTCAGAAGGAAAAGCTGGAAGTGTCATCTTTGTAACATATCAGGAAGCAATATATAAACTTTAAGTTAGAACAGCAAACCATTCTCCAAACATTCTGTTTTACCTCCAAAGATGTTTTCGCTCATGAGTCAGAGCTGATCCCGGGCCAATGGGAATGTTTCTATTTACTTTGAGATTGTGCCTGCGACTGCAAATCCAACTTATTTTTCCTGAGGCGCGCGAGTGATCTCTTCCAAGGCCTCAGTCTTTCCTCCAAGGATTAGAAACCCAAACTACTATGAAACGCAGCTTTGTGCAGAGCCTCGTGCATCCCTCGGGAAGGCGGAGGATGGGGCAGGATGGGGGGCAGAAACCAGCCCGTCCTCCTTGCAGGACCCCCCAGTGCCTCTGCGGGGGCTGCACCAGAGCCTGGGACTCGCCCAGCTGAGACCTTCTGTCTCTGAGCTCCTCTCCAGGGCAGCCAGCCATTTTGGGGCAAGAAGAAAGGAAATTTGTCAAAGCAGCTAAACCCCTCCCTGCCCTGCCCTGCCCCGTCCCCAGGGACCCTCAGGGACAGACAGGGGTGGGGTGGGGGGGACAGAAGATCCTGACACCTTCCTCTGCCCCCAGGCAATGCATTTGGGAACCCAGTGGAGACCCCCACACCCACGGCCACCAAAGGCAGCAGCAGCAGCGTGGCAGCCACCTGGGCCATGGAAGCCACCAGCAGTGCCAAGCCAACGCCAAAGACATCTGGTAATTGCTCCCCTCGTGATTTGCATTTGCATTAATAACCAGATTTTTCAAGTGCACAGTTTGCCCTAAGAAACCGCGTAGTTGATGCATGGGTTGCGCTCTCAAAAAAGAGCCCGAGTCTGGTCAAAAGCTCTAATCCTGCCCAGAAAATCCCACCTGGGGCAGCCTGATGCCCCTTTTAGACCCATCCTTTCCCAAGAGATGATGGGACAAAATGGCTCATTAATCTTTTATCTCACAGTACCCACTCTCTGCTCAGCAAACGGCACCCATCAGAGGTCTGCCAGCCCTTCGGGTGAGCTCCGAAGCAGGGAACCTTGCACAGATGTACTTTTCTTCTGCTCGATTTTGGAGACTGGGGGTCCAGGGGGAGAGGAGGGCGATGCTGGGGGGGTCGGGCAGTGGCATCCTTGCTGTGGTGCCGCGTGTGCCCAGGAAATTAGCCCATTGTAAACAGATTATGAAGCACGTGTAACAATTAAGCAACTGAAGCAAGTCTAATGCGCGTTTTTACACAGCCCTGAACACGTTCTGGTAGCCCTGGCTATGACAAATCAATATTGTACTTCAGTCAGCGCAATGCCACGCACTGATTGTAGAGGACTTAAGCTTTCTCCTGTCTCCTTTTCATTGCATCTCTTCCAAACCCAAGCTGCAGTTGGGTCCCTGGCAGCCAGTCCCACCTCCCCGGGGCTCAGCAGCGAGCAGTCCAGCCCCCAGCCCAGCCGAGCCCCCACGCAGCCCCTGGGCACCCCCTCGGAGCCAGACCACATCAGCCAAGGGGTCCTCTCAACCGAGAGCCCCACGCCACGACCCAGCACGGCGGCAGAAACCCCTGGCTCCACGTCAGCTCTGATGAGCTCCTCTGCCACCTCCGAGCATCCTCACGTCGCCGTTGCCACCACGCCGCTGCCCACAGGCAGGGACAGCCCGAAGGTGAGGATGGGGCTGGGACCACGAGGAGGCTGGATTTGTCTCACACTTCCCCAGCGATTCATGGGGTTTTTTTCATGTGGTTTTTTTTTTTTTTTTTTCCCCCTTCCAGCCCATCATCACGTGCCACAATGTCAAAGAACTGAGTGACACTGGAGCCATCTGCTTGCAGCTCAACGAGTCCATCACTTGCGTGAGTTGTAGCCCGGGGCAGATGTGTGTTTCTGAGTCGGGGGGGGACATGCAGGAGGAGGGGGGCTGCCAGCAAACAGCCAAGGACAGGTTCCTGCAGCACCCTCAGCCTTGCAGTGATGGGGTCACCCATTGTACCTGGAGGGGGTCGGTTTGTGGTGGGATCTCAGACGGTTATCCCGGGGCACAGCATCTGAGCTTTGCCAAACTGATGGTGGTGGAGCCCAAAGGGATGATCACACCAGTCCCAGAAGGTCCCAAAGGGATGATCACACCAGCCCCAGAAGGTCCCAAAGGGATGTTCACACCAGTCCCAGGAGGGTCCCACACCAGTACCGGGGGAAATGCGACCTTCTGGTTGCATAAAACCTCCTTTTTCATGATTAAGCTCTGGGGTCAGTTTAGCTTCTCAAGGCTCTCCCACCATGTTTAACAGGAAATTGCCTTTGTTCTTCTTCTTCCTCTTCCCTGTTGGGAAGGTGAGCGCCTTTTTAGTCTTGCCAACTGCCCTAGGAAAGGAATCAGGGCATCTGAATGAGCACAGGCTGATCAGTGTCCCCATCTGCACCGACTCCTAAGGGAATCCCAGCCTCTCCTTAACTACCCTTGGCCTCCTGCACCAAAAAATGCAGCATTTATTAAAAGCAGGAGAGGGTTTGGCTGAGACGCTGCTGTGGGTGGGGGGAGAGAAACCTTTCATGCAGGAGGTACAGCCTGCAGCAGAGGCCAGAGGGGTTGGAGCTTGTGGGACAGGAGGTTTGGTGGTACCCTGGGTATAGGAGCATAGATATATATTATTTCTAATATGTATATATCTATATAAAAAAAAATATATAAAAATATATTTCTATATAAATATATATGATCTTTGAGGTCCCTTCCAACCCTAACCATTCTATGATTCTATGATTCTATGATATATATAAATAGACATATAATATATATTATACATAATAAACATATAATATATATAAGAAAATATACCTATATCTATAAATACAGATATATATGACATTAATTTTCCTTCAGCCATACTGCCACCGCCCAGGCTGAGTGGATTCTAACTTGGCTTCTCTCTGCAAAGGGGCGATCAAACGGCCTTGAGACTTGCTCCCGGTTCCAGGGTCCTCTCTTTAGCAGGAATTCCTATGGGAAATTCCTCCGGGAGCGGGTGATCCCGATCACAGATGCCATCTAGTGGGCATCGGCCCTTCCTGGGCACGGGGTTTATGCACACACTGTGTACCTGCACATAGATAAATGGGTGCATATATAATATATATGTATATAAAAATATATATATCATAGAATCATAGAATCATAGAATTGCCCAGGCTGGAAGGGACCTCCAAAGGCCATCTAGTCCGACCCCCCCGCAGTCAGCAGGGACACCCCCAACTAGACCAGGTTGCCCAGGGCCTCGTCGAGCCTCTCCTTGAATATCTCCAGGGAAGGGGCCTCAACCACCTCCCTGGGCAACCTGTTCCAGTGCTCCACCACCCTCACAGTGAAGAACCCTCTCCTCATCTCCAGTCTAAATCTGTTCCCCTCCAGCTTGAAGCCATTGCCCCTCGTCCTGTCACTGCAGGCCTTTGGAAACAGGTTCTCCCCAGCCTTCCTGTAGGCTCCCTTCAGGTACTGGAAGGCCGCTATTAGGTCTCCCCGGAGCCTCCTCTTCTCCAGGCTGAACAACCCCAGCTCCCTCAGCCTGTCCTCGTAGCAGAGGTGCTCCATCCCCCTGATCATCCTTGTGGCCCTCCTCTGGACCCTCTCCATCAGGTCTATATCCTTCTTATATTGAGGGCTCATATATATATGGATATATATGCATATATAATATATATAAAATATATACAGAATATTCTAAGGAGGCGTATCTACTTGCACAGACTCTTAACCCTCCCTCCATGTGAAACGAGCCAAAGGGCCCCGTTTCCAGCCGTGTTTTTCTGGGATCTCTGGCCCCGTAGCATCTCTCCCCTGCATCCTCCTCCCCTAATCATCCAGTGGGAAAACCCAGCCCCGGCCCCGCAGCCGCTTGGACCTGGGAAGCAGATAAGAGCCTCTGCCAGGGGAGCAGATAGGAGGGACCGTGCCTCATCCCGCTTTCCTGCTGGCCTTTCCCAAAGCCAATGAGCAATACCCTTGGCTCCCGGCGCCGCTAATTGCGAAGGGAAATTCTGACACTCCGATGAGTTCTTTCCACAGCAGAGAAAGGAAAATACACACTCGGGTCTCTTGTTCCATCTTGGCCTTTCTCGCCCCCAAGCCAAGCTCTATAGAAACAGCTGAAAGTGATTTGTTTGTTATTCTCCCATGGATAAGCCTCTGCATTTTTGTGCGCTAAGGGGATGTGGCGATCCCAGCACAATGCTGAGGTAATTCTACGGCAAAGGGAGGACAGCACGGAGCTGCCTGGCTCTGGATGGTGCCAGACGAGAGGGTTTTCTCCTCTTTGGCAGCCCCAGGTCGGTGGGTGCCTCCGGGGAGGGAGAGGAGGGCAGGGGCAGGACATGAGATTCAGCTGGAGCCCGTCTCTGTCTCCCAGGGGTGGGCACGGCCACCGCTCCGACCACGTCCCCCCCAGGCTGGGAGGATGTTGGGGAAGCTGATAACGTCTTTTAGCAACTGTGAGCTCTGTCTCCAGGCCTGACCGTGGCCGAAAATAGACCCAAGGAGAAAGCCTATCCTGTCTGATACAGAAATTGGCCGGCAGGAGGGAAAGGCAGCAGCTCCTCGCTCCTCTTCCTCTTCCACCCAAGAGTCGGTTCAGCTCTAAAATGTGAGAAATTTGTGGTTTTTTTGCCTAGTCTTTGATCAGCAACCTAGCAAAAACATTGAGGACATTTCCTAAACAGGAAGGCTCAATGCTTCTTTGTTATTTCCCTCCTTTCCCAGCCCCTGCCTGGGACTCTGAAACAATAGGGCTCTTCAGGCGGCTGTTTCAGTCCAAAAATTGGAGAGACTCACCATTACAGTTCAGATCCCAAATTCAGCTTTGTTTAAATGCCTTTTGTGAGAGTTGGTAAAGGTAATTTAATTAAGTTAAGGACACAGGAAACAAGCACCTCCCTTTTCTAGGTGTTGGTACCGGTGCCCAGAGCAGTGATGAGGGGGGGGTGAAGGGCTGACACCCAGCCCAGAGCCCTTTGTCACTTTTCATCCCCTCTGCTCAGCCTCACACAGCACAGAGAAGCCCCCAAAACATGAAGGGTGAAGGCACCAGTAGCATCATCGGATGGAGAATTACCTGGGTTGGTCGGTCCAACGGCTGCTTGTTTGAAAATTTTTGCAGAAACATTTTTTGGAGAGGAAGGGGTCGGAATTATGGAGCGCCATCTGCGAAGGGAGCCCCCACCGCCTGCCCTCCCCCTGCAAGATCCAACTTGCTAAATCCGAGGTGGACCACGACTGCTTGCTCCTCATCCTCGTTGGCCAGAGAGGTCAGTGCAGCCAATTCCTTGGGCTGTCGTGGGTCCCACTGGAGAGTGACCTCCATGTGGGCAGTGGGAGAGGGGGCTGTTTGTGGGGAGAGGCTGTGGGGCACAAACCCTCAGTTACAGCCTGGGAGGAGACATCTCTGCAACTACTGCTCCTTCTTCTGGGGTCTTGCTGGATCCATGGAGCCATGGTGTGGCCTCCAGAGCAGCTCCTTCATGTCCAGCAATGGCCAGGCTCTTCAGAGCTGGCATTAGCCACAGTGGGACCCTCTGTGTAACGTGCCTCTCCTCTCTTAAACCCTGCAGAGCCTGCTACAGACGTGCTCCAGGAGTCTCAGTGGGAAAAGGTAAATTCCTTAAGCAAATTTACCTGCTGAAAACGGGTGGGCTGAGTGGCTGGAGAAAAGGGATTTTTAGAGGGTTGGTTGAGGCTGAGACCTGAACCTGCCTCCACCTCGGGGGCGTTTGCTGAGCGTTGGCACGTGGGATGGTTGGAGCCAACCAGCAGACCTGCAGCGGGGCAGAGGTGCCCCCCAAGAGAATTAATGCAACCACCGAAGGCAGAAACGCTCCAAGTAGTTACTTGAAAATTGGGCAGCGTTTCCTTTAAAAAGGCCTAGATCCCAACAATAATTCTTAGGGTGCAATTGTCACTCTGCTGCTTCAAAGTACCACGCTGACACCGGTTCGTTCTTCCTCCCAACGCTCCAGCCAGGCTGCCATCAGCTTGTAAAGCTGAGCACCAGGTGCTGTAGGAATGGCAGCCAAGGGAGCTGCAGCAGCAGCACATGGAGGTATTATTTCAGCTCAAAAATCTCAGGGCTTGGGCACTCTGGTCCAAGAGAGAACATCTCCCTGTGATGGAGATGAGACCCTGAGGATGTGCGAGCTCACAGGGCCAGGGCAAAGCCCAGGAGGTTGGGGCAGCAGAGCCCAGCCTTGTTTACGTGCAGTTTTAAGCAGGAGGTGAAGAGCAGCATTGTTTCAAGCCCGGTGCCTGTTCAGCAGATGCACATGTTTCCTGTTTGTCAGACTCCCGGCTCTCTTTGGTGTTTTGTTGTTTTGTTTTGTTTTGTTTTTTCCCAGTTTGGAATAAAATCCCTCAAACAAGGGAGAGTGAGGAACCATCAGGACTTCTCTCAGAAGACCTTGATCGCCTTGGTCACATCTGGCCTCCTGCTGGCCTTCCTGGGCTTGGCTGGTTATTTCCTGATGAAGCGGCGGAGCTGGAGCCCCGCGGGAGAGAGACTGGTCAGTGCTTATCGATGGCAGAGCCCCCGGGGGGGCCTGGGGGGGACAGGAGGGGGCTGCTCCGCTCCCCACAGCTCGGTGCCCTCGGCCGATGTCCTCAGGTCCATGGGACGTCGTGACCCAGGGCTGGGTCAGCCTGGGCAAGGAGAAGGGCAGACCCTACAGGGTGATGGGAAAGCTCTCGTGACTTCTAAAATTAAGACTTAACTGATTGCTTCTGGGGGGAAACCGCCCCTTTCTCGCTCGTACTTCTAGGTCTAACACTTCTTTTTGCTCAGCAGTAAGAACTCATCCAGCAAGAGCCCTCCAGAGACCCCGAAACCTTATGAATTTGTCATTAAAAGTGGCACACTTTAACTGCCCATTGGCTGCGTTTGAGTGATGTTTCTGCCTTGTACCGATGCTGTAATAAAGGCTATTTCTCCCCTCACTTAACAAGTGATGGCAATAAAAAATATCAAGAAAGAAAGAGAAAGGAATTTCCTCTTTCCATTTCCCCCTTTCCAGGCAAGCTGACCGCTGAGGACCAGTGACTTTTGGGGAGATGAGCCCTCTGTAAAGTGAGGATGGGCCATGCTTTTCCCCCATCACTGCTCGTGGGCACGTGAGAAGTTGTGTCCTGGGAAGCCACGAGGTTATTTCATTGCCAGGAAGGATGCAGGTGGGAAGGCAGAGGCAGGGACATGGCAGCCAGGGCTCTAGAGCCCTCTGGCTCCGGGTCTCATCTCCTGGATGCCAGCAGCAAGGGAAAGGCAGGATAAACGTGTGGTTGGGAGCTGCCCGGGTAAACCCATGGCAGTGTCAATGCAGTGCCAGGGAGATGTGTCCCACACACCCATCTTGCTGCCATGGACAAGGGTGTCATGATGGGGAGGGGGGGTGAAGCCCAGCAGCCTGTGGTGGGTGCTGGATGCTGCTGAGCAAACGGAGGGGGGGCTACCTGCTCCCAGTTGGGAATAGCCACCCGCATCCCAGGACCCCCAGCACTCATTGCATTGCTGTCAGACACCAGGGAGTTATCGTGGTGGGGGACAGAGGTGGCTCTGTTATTGCTCTGGGTCCTCCAAAGGCATCTACTTCTTACAGCATTAGCCCCACAGCCCATCTTTGCATCTCCAGCCCCACAGCTCTGCAGGCTGACACTGGAGTGCAGTCCTGTGCCTCCGTGGGCACCTTGATGTGAGCTGTGCACCTATTTACAGGCTGAAAGAAAGAAGGATAGGGAAAGAAAAAGAGGCAATTTCCATAAATTTAATTCAATGGTGCTTCTCACTTGGCCAAAGAGGAAAGCAGAGGAGGTCTGTCATGGCCCAGCTTTGCAAACCCGAGGCAGGGTCAGCTCCGAAACCTGGTTCTGACAAAACAACAAAACCTGACGGCTTCTCTTTTCAGGTCCAGGAGGGAAAAAAAAAAAATATGTTATGCAATTCCTGGCAGGTTTTCTTGCTTCATCTTGCCACGGCGTGGTCCAAGCCCTCTGTTCCCCTTCTCGTTGTGGGAGCAGGTTCCCATGGCTGTGGTTGTTTGTCCCTCCTGTCCAGGAAGCGCCGGCAGCCAAGCCCTGCCCGCAATCACAGCCGGTCGCTGTCAGCCCTTTCCCTTCCCTAACTCTGCCTTTGTTATTTATGTACCTGTTTAGGCTGAAGACCCCTATTACACGGAAAACGGTGGCCAGGCAAACACCATGCTGATGATGCCCCAGCAAGAGCAACCCGAGCTGCAGGAGAAGCCAAACCTCAACGGTGGGACTCAGGAGAACGGGACCGGCCAAGCGTCCTCCAAAAACGGCCACTCGGGCAGGCAGCACAGCGCCGACACCCAAATGTGAACCCGGGGGGAGAAACACATCCTCAGCACCCACCCAGAGGGGACAAGGGTGGGTGAGAGTTTTCTATGGACAGTTAGGGAATTGTAGATCTTTTTTTTGTGTGTGTTTTGGGGTTTTTTTTCTAGTATAATTCCTGTGAAGGACTTCAGAATCAGCCTAAAGCACATTACACACCAGAGCTGCCAAAGACCTGCTTCTCTGCCCCCTCCTGTTGACCACACAAGAAACCTCTTCGCAGCTGTTCTCTGCTTTTGTTGTTAGAAGAACGTAATGAGAAATGCAAGTGCCCTTAGCCCTGAACAGCTTTTAAGCAGAGGCAGATTGGAGCTACAGAAGCCTTGAGCCAGACTCCAAAAATTTCTGGTGGCAGTGTGTTAGGCTGATTAAAATAGTTAAATTGGGATTTCAGTGACAAAAACCTCTCAGGTTTCAGATAATTTTGGTTAATGGAGTTGGTTTTTTATCTCATCTTTATGTTTAAGCGCAGGATTTCTTCCTCTTTTAAGGACATGAGGCATTTAATCTCCCTTCTTGGGCTTTAGGTCTCCTTTAGTCTTTCCTACTCCAGCAGAATTTGCTGAAGCTCTGTGTAAAACTTTCCACGTGGAATTGGAGGCTGAAATGTGAAAAGACCTCGAGCTTGTTCCTTTGTTAATCCCACCAGTAAAAAACTTCCCCAGTCTCTTCCCGTCAGGGACTGGGGAGGGTGTTGGATGAGGCAGAGCCAGTAATGGATGACTCCAGCCATGGAGACCATTGGGTTGGGCTGGAGACATCCCAGTGCCCTCCCTCCTGACACGTGGGGCAGTGCCCAGGGTAGGACCGAGGGAATAAAAGATCCCAAAGGGCTCCCAGGGGGACAAACCTGGTTCCGTGATGGCTGGTTCTGCATCAGCAGTGAGTACATGAACAAAAAGAAGTATTTTTGCTTTGGTAAGTGAAGCCACCACCAGGATCCCACCAGCAGGAGCAGGTCCTGCCCAGCACTGAACCTGCTGCCCCATCGCTGAGCCATCTGCGGCGCAGGTCCTGCCCAGCACTGACCCTGCTGCCCCATCGCTGAGCCATCTGCGGCTCGGTGTCCAAAATAAGGACAAAAATGGCCCTTGAAGGTGCTCTACCCTCTCACTAGTGCATTAATCCCAACCTTTTCTCAGCGCTGAACACCTGAGGGGAAGGCTTTTTTTTTTGGTACAGTGCTTAAAGGAACAACAGACACGTCCATCATTACCTGGGGCTGTTTGCATCGGTGCAAGAGGCATTTAAACACGGCTTAAAACATTTCAGGCTTTGTTTCTTTTCTTTTGGTGTGAATTGCTTCTCCCAATTGTCATTGTAAATAATCCCAGTTGGAAAAAAAAAAAAATAATAATTTGAGTATTAAAAATCAAGGTCTCTGTTGTGTCCTTGGAAGAGCAGCGTGTTTATCCCACCGGGATGCCTGGCTCTGGCTCTGCCGAGCGCCAACACCTCCCGGAGAGGTTGTTTCCCAGAAAAAAATGCTGTGACTAAGGGCTGCAGCTCGTTCTGCCCACATTTTCCATGTCTTTCAACAAGCACGTTTGCAGGACAAGTGACGCACAGCACTCAGCCCTGGGCTGTTTTGTTTGATTTGCCGCTGTTTAAGATGCCGGGCTAATTCCTGGAGAACTAAATGAGACTTCAGTCTCATGGAGTGATCCGCAGGGCTGGGGGCTGACCTGACATTAGGGGTGTGTGTGTGTGTGTATGAAGAAGATGGAGATGAAGATGATGGAGATGAAGATGAGTAATTATTATTCTTCCTTACTCTGTGCACCGTGGAATAACCAGCAGCGGTTCCTGCCTCAAAGAATTTTTCAGGGGCGATGCAGGGCACCCCCTTAATTGTCATGGAGGTGCTCGAGCTCCACAGAAAGCAGGAGGTTTGGTGCTGGGTATCTTTACTGAGCTGGCCCCCTTGTCTCTGGGGTGTCTGACCAGTCCTCCTGCTTGTTCCCTGCCCATGGCACACCGGATACTGAATATGGCCAGAAACCACCGCTGCCAATTTTCTTGTAGTTTGGGGTAATTTGACCTCCAGCGCCTGGCTGCAAGGGGAAGAGATGAAGGAAAATTAAATTAATTTCTCTCCTGAGAGCCCCGGCTGCCGTGGGAGCAGGGGAAGCTCTCCTGGAGGCGGGATGTGCATAGCGGGGCAGGGTGGGTTTTTTTTTTTTGTAATTATTATTTTTTGGCAATTGTTTATCTAATCAGCAACACTTTGGCTGCAGCCAAAGCAGGAGATCTAATCAAATGTCAGGTGCGTTTTTCACAGCTCAGGGTATGTCCTACAGCCAAGCCCAGACAATGAAGTTACAGTCAATGGCTTTGGCAAAACAAAAGCTTTCTCTAAAACACCCAGGTTGAGGGAAACACTGAGGCAGAGGAAGAGGCTGCACTTCCAGCTCAGGAAGTTTTTTGCCTGCATATAAACACCCCCAGGCTCAGCCCTGGCCCTGCCGAAAAGGTTGTTATTATTGTTCCTTCCTTATCAAACCTCTTGCATCCCTTCCTTGCCAGCCCCACCATCTGCTGCCTCCTCTCACGGGCTCACAGCTGCTTTTGGGCCACTTTTGGGGGTGTTTTAGGGAGTTGAATCCCTCTCAGCTCCCACCAGCGACCTGTTTCCTCCAAGGTGGAGGCAAGTGCTCTTGTCTGGTTCATGCCCCCGTGTCTTGCTCACGTAGAGTGTGTCTATAGGCTGTTGAGTTTATATCGGTGTGAAATGCCCTGATGGAAATAATTGGCATGAAAGCACCCTCTGGAGAAGAATGGTGGCAAATGCATATACAAAATGTTAAATAAATATAAATACAAATATAAATATAAATAATATAAATATAAATATGACACAGCCATTAAATGCCATGTCCCCATCCCAGCCTGAAACAGAACCAGAAGCTCCAACACCCCTCCCGGAGGCACCAGTTGACATCAAAGACTTTTTCAGAAATGAAGGAATACTTTCCTACCTGACCAGCCCTAAAATGCTGCTGTCAGTTGGAGGTGGTTTGCTCTGGGCACAGCTGAAACCAATCACATTTATCAGAGCAAATGAGTTTTAAGCAAGTCTCGTTAACTGTGGCCCTCAGTGGCTCTTCCATCCCTCTCGTAATAAACCCCCCCCAGGTGAGGAAAGTCCTGCCCTGCAGAGTCACAAGCCCTTCACAGCAGAACGGCACGTCCCAGTGCAGAGGAAAGGAGCTCCTTTCTTCGTTTGCTGCTTGGTAATGTCTTTTTTATTGATTTCATTGAGAAATGTGCTAAAACTTCAGTTTAAGGGCAGACCGACCCCTCGCCTGCCTTGTCGCGCTGTGAAACCTTCACCCCCTGTGAATTTTTTTTTTAAATCAGTGCAGTTTAGCTTAAAAGGCTACAGAAATAGCACTTCTTTTTAGTTACAACAGGTGAGTGGTCACCCCCGGAGCTCGGTGCCCCCGCCCGGACCCACTGGAGGGGGGTGTCACGGCCTCAGACTTAAGTGCACCGAGGTTTCTGTGTGATTTTGGAAGCAGCAGAAATAGCCTGGGGTGCATTCCATATACGGATGCTGCTATCTGCTGGCTGTGCTCTGCTAGAACATGGAATATTTTGCTCTGGAGGGAAGCTGGGAGATGGATGGTCTGGAGCTGCACCTGAAGATGATCCTGCTCCACCACAATCCCCAGTTCCACCCCGGCAACGCGGCCAAGAGGCTGAGAAAATAACATTAGGAAATGATAAAAGAAGTAACACCTACAGTTGGCTTTGAGGCTCATTCTCCAGGACCGGGGAACATCTACATTGAAATTTCTCTTATGAGGAGAGGCTGAGGGAGCTGGGGGTGTTCAGCCTGGAGAAGAGGAGGCTGAGAGGAGACCTTATTGCTCTCTACAACTCCCTGAAAGGAGGGTGTAGAGAGGTGGGGGTCGGTCTCTTCTCTCAAGTCACAGGCGACAGGACAAGAGGAAATGGCCTCAAGTTGTGCCAGGGGAGGTTCAGGCTGGATATTAGGAAAAATTTTTTCATGGAAAGGGTTCTCAGCCCTTGGAATGGGCTGCCCAGGGAGGTGGTGGAGGCACCATCCCTGGAGGTGTTCCAAAGACGGGTTGATGTAGTGCTGGGAGGTCTGGTTTAGTGATGATGCTCCTTGTTTGTTGTGTGGGTGTCTGTTTTTGTCAGTGAGGTTGACGGTTGGACAAGATGATCTTTAAGGTCCCTTCCAACCTAGAAGATTCTGTGATTCTAAAAGGAATATTTGCCATCCAGCCACTGCCCACCAGCTTGTTCCATGAACACACACAAAGCTCGTGTGGGAGTTCTGCAGTATTTGTGGCACCATCTGCTGCCCTGGCCACGAGGGCCTTTCCATCCCAATGCATGGACCTCTGGAAATTTGGGCAGGATTTGGGTATGTCCCAGCTGACGTGGCTGGAGAAGCTTCCAGTGCCCTTGCACCAGTTCGCACCAGTGCTGTACCAGTTCTGAGCCTGCCAAAAGCTCAGTCACCATCATCTGGTTGTAAAAACATCTCCCAGCCTTGCTAGAGGGTGATGTTCAAGCTCTTTTCCCTTTCTCTGTGTTTCTACCCACAGAAAAGAACTCGGGGTCCCGTAATGCCCGTGTGTATCGTCTGTCTGCACCCACGTGATGTTCCTGCCTTTGCTTCCAAAGTAAAGGGAACAGCATCTGTGGAGGGCTCTTCCATCCCCTCAGGAAAAAGAAATAAATATATATTTACAACTATTTGCATTACAGGCACTTCACAGGTGTTTTAATTCTAAGTCTTTAATCTTAGCCTTCAGATCCATTTAATTTGCTGGTGTTTTCATTTGTAGCAACAGACGTAAATGAGATTATCTCTCCCCTGAGATAAACTGTCAAAGGCAAACGCTGAAGAATTGGGCTCTAAAAACACGTTCATATTCTGGTGTTGCAGACCCTGAGACAGAGCCGGAGATGAAAGGAGATTCCTGTGAGCCAGGACTTGGGTCCCAAACACACGGGGGACCTTTGGGTGCTGCACAAAGCCTTGGGCAGTCTCCCTGCCTCTTGTCATTTCTTAAGACCCACAAGGGCCTTCAAGAATTATTTTTTTTTCACCTAAAAAGCCAAGTGGGACAAGAAGGGGTGAGCCTGGGACGCTGTGTCTGGGGCAGAGGGTTGGTTCGGAGGGGATGGCTGTGGAGCCAGACACAGGAATTGCACTGGGTTATGATTTTTCCATTGAAAACTGTTCACATTTTTCTTCTGGAGAAAAAAAAAACCAACAATTTTGAACAGTTTTTCTGTTGGTTTTCTAATGGAAAGTTACTTTTTGGAGGGGGAAGGAGACTAGCTGTAGGAAAAAAGGGCTGAAAATAGTTAATAGCTCATTTTGTCTTGCATAAGGCACAGAAGATGTCCCAAGGGTCTCTACCTACAAAGTTCATTTGCAGGGTGCATTTTTTTTTATTATTCCTGTAAATTAAACAATCTATTACGCTACCAGCCCGTGGCTATTTATTTTCTATTTCTGGTACTTTTACTTGAGATTCTTTTTCTTCATTTTTTTATTAATCTTTGTGTTTGCATCTTCCTTCTTTCCTTATCTTCCGCCTGCCCCAGAGGCTGACTGCTGCTTTGGCAACACGCTAACGTGTTTAGGAACGATAAGACGTCTAATTAATAGTTTAATTAGCAGTACAAGGCCTTAATAGCTTATTAAAGGAAATACATTCAGAAATTTCTTTGCCTTTCCTTGCGTTGGTACAATATAATTTACCAGCAAATGATAAAGCAGTTTTGCCTGGCGTTCAGCAGGGAAAGTGGGGCTGGATTCGTGATTTCACGGGGGATTTTGCACCACTAATACTATTATTTTTTTGTTGTTGTTGTTGCTTTTTAAAAACAATGGAGCAGCTTAACAGCAGCCACCACGAAGGAGTGATGCCACGGTGGTGTGTGGCA